GCTCATTAGTATTATCCGGTGGGTCTCGTTGACTTTTGTCAAACCAAACAAAAACAGAAACAAAGCATTTCCTCGTTCTTGGACATTATCGTCGTATCGAGCACATGCCCATCACTATCACAAGTATTAACGAAAAAGACCGCATGCTACTTAATTTACCTGTACTTGTTGGGGATGTTTTTTATCATGACGGTGGTACGACCGTCTCTGCAACCACTAGACTCACCGGCGATAGCGTCTTCGTTTATAACGAAGCAACCATCGCTGACATTCTTATTCACATGCTCTTTAGTCCTCTTCGTATTGTTAATGTACTTCTCTTGTCGCTCGTACGGTTGTTTCTGGTTCCTCCTCGTGTTGACCTTCATCGAACCTTTTCTTCGGAACTGACCCGCCGAAGAAGGTAGCCGGCGATGGTGATACGTCAGAGCCGGAGGCGGAGGAGGAAAGTGGTGGTTGAAGAAGAAGTTTTTGTTGAAGCGTGAAGCGAGGAAGAGTTTTCTACTGAAACCACCAGGACGGCTAAATTGAACGACGATTGGTTTACCGTCGATGGATTTCCCGTCCATCTCCCGGAGAGCTAAGGCGGCGTCTCTGACGTCGTAAAACTCCACGAACCTCTGTTCTCTCTTGTACGGTGTCTCTCTCAGCTCCTTCACTTCCCCTACAAAGATTAAAAAAAAAAGAAATTAATATCTGGAGAAAAGTAACAAAAGAGAGAATGTTGTTGAGTGTATTAAATTACAAAATTATTAATAAAGTCGTGAGCTTTACCATAAACCTGGAAAATCTGACGGAGAGTTGAGGAAGAGACGGTTGGTTCCAAATTCATAATCACGAGTGACCCTTGATTGTTCCCTTGTGGAACCGCCGTGAGTTGAGGAAATACGAAATGGGCCCATACGAATCGTCCGGAGATGAGTCCACGCGCCGCCGTGTAACAACCAGCACCACCGGAACCGGCTTGTTCTTGCTGCATGTGACGCTTATTACGTATCTCCTTTAGAGCCCTTTGTGAGTCTCTGAGATTGTAGAAATGGACGGTCACGATTCCTTCATTTACTATCTCCATTTGGACTCCACGAACCTCACCGAATACTTCCAGGTCCCGGCGAATAGATGACTCAGTGACGTCACCTGGTACTGATAACAGCATCACGGCTCTAGTCGGGGTTATCGATGTCAGCGGAAGATGGTAAGGAGGAGGAAGTAGAGGTCCGGTGAAGTTAGGGAAAAAAGGAGGGAGATGGAGAGGGTAAAGCGGAGGAGGAAGAGGGTGGTAGATTCTTGTCGGAATAAAGAAGGGTGTTGGGTAGAGATTTGCCGGTAAAAACGCCGGAGCTGTTGGGTTAAGGTTTCCCGAGTAAACGGTGACTGACATAGCGGTTTAAGGGGAGGTCGGTGAGGAGTTTAAGAGGTGGTTTTCCGGTGATCGGTAACGGCGACTTGTACTGATGGACGCTTGATCTTCCTCAGGGATCGTAC